CGAAAACCCAGCTGCACGCCGGCCCCACACCTTCCCCAGGCCGGCTTTCAGGCACCAGACCACTTGCCCACGCCCGTGGGGCACCCCGGGTGCCTGCACCGCAGCCTGCAGCCGTCACCCTCCCTGGCCGGGGACGCAGCCTTGCCCAGCGCAGCCTGCGGTGAGGCTCCGCTTGCCCCGCGCCAGGCCAAAGATAAGACGGGAGTTTGCTGGCTCCCACCACGGGACTGGCCCCGTGGCACGTGCTGTTCCCTAGTTTAGGGCAGACACGTGTGGCCCTTTCACTCCAGATGGTGGCTGGGTTTGTCTTTGGGATGCTTCACTTTCTAAAGCTGAGCAGACAGAAAGGTCAGTAATAGGCAGCAGGAAAACAAACCGACTAACGTAACGCTAAAGCAGTAGCTTCAAGCTCCTGGGTTAATATTTACTGCTGAAACTACAGGAGTTGAGAACACAGTGTGCGGCTCAGCTCTTTGAGAAATGCATTGGAAATCATGCATCACATGCCGATGATGAAAGAGAGCTTTGAAACACTGGGAGAGGATAACAAGCGCCTACAAGCCAGAACGTGTACAGCTGCAGATATGCAAGAGCTGGAATCCCACCGCCATCCGTGACAGCCAGAGGAACTGAACCACTTACACAGAGAAACTCACGCCAAGCAGAGGGTAAACTGAGTGCTGGGAGCCACAGCAACACCCTGGCTAACACGGGGAGGGGGGAGTTTGTAACCCAGAAGCAGAGGGTTAAGGGCAGCAGCCCAACGGGCAGGAGGATTTGGATCATTTTGCCTCCTGCCGGGCCCAGCACATCCCTTCCTTCTCTGCAGCGAATGATAACAAATGGCAAAAACCGTTCACAGGACACCGTTCAAATGAAACACATCACAGGGAAGGGAGAAACATGCAGCATCCCTAAATGTAATGGGAGCAGCATGACAGCACAGGCGGGCAGTCCAATCTGAATGCACCACCCAGGCAGAATCCATCAGCTTTTTGAACCGTCTGCAAAACTGAAAACAAGGGTCTCCTCCTAATTAGTGTTAATTTGTTAAAAGTTTCCAGACACTTTCAAAATGTGCCTTTGCAAGAATCACACCCCCCCAACCCATCACCCCAAGGGCCCCAACAAAGGAATCCGCTCCTGATCATTGCTAGAGTCACGGTTTGTCTTCAGAGATGCTTTGCTTCTCCCTTCTTATGTCTCTTCCTCTTCCTCTTCTTCTTCTTCCTCTTCCTCTTCCTCATCATCATCTTCATCATGGCAATGTGTGATTTCCTGAGGTGCCTGGGGGAAGAGGTTGGGCGGTTTGATCTCACTGATGGAGCGGGTCAGTTGATGCCGCTTGTAGTCAGAATCTTTAAAATCCACGGAGGTGCGATTGCGCGTGGCCATCGGCGACTCCTTCTCATTGATGTCGACGTGCGTGTGCTCTACCGTGGACTCGTGTGGCATCTACACACATAAGAGAGAGAGGAGATGGCAAGGGGTGCCCCAGACTGGGGCAAGGGGGTGCCCCAGTCCCAGGATATCCCCGAGACAGATGGAGAGCAAACCCCAGAATGCGACCCTTTGGCCCACGGTGCTTCAAATGCCACCCAACCCTCCAAGGAGCCGTTCCCAGTGCCGGTGGCTTGTGGAAGGGTTAATGAACACAAGCGCAGGCACCTTTGGGACCCCTGCTCACCTCCCCGGGGTCTGCAACTCACCAGGACGTGGGCGGCTCTGAAGAGGTAGCTGAAGGGGTAGTAGAGGAGGTTGATGAAGGAGGCTGCATAGAGATCAGCGTAGCGCATCACCTGGCTGGCAAACAGGGTCTGCCGAGAGCCGCTGCGGAAGAGGCTCCCCATCATCCCGTAGCACATGTCCATGTCGTGGGTCACTTTCTACAAGCAAAGGGCCGGTTAGATCCTGGGCCGGGCAGGCAGCAGTGCGGAGCCCAGACAACACCGAGGCAGAGTGCGCTGGGGGCTACAGGAGATGTGCAAGGATCTCCAGCAAGGCTGCCTGTGCTCGTACCCCGCCGCATCAGAGCACAGCCGAGTCCCAGCTAACAGAGGGGAAGGTGGCAGTGGGCTCAGGGCCAGCACCTGCCCCAGGCTGGCACCCCCCAGGCTGGCTGAACCAGAGGCTAAAACCCCTCCAAGCTTGTGTGTGCCAGCGCCCCGTTCTGCAGCAGTGAGCACCGTCAGTCAGCACTGCTGTCTGCGTGAGGAAGGAGACCCTATTCCAGACCAGGCTGCCTTTCAGGAGCGCCAGTGACACCAGCGAGCTGAGAAGCTCCTCCGTTTGCATCCGCAAAGACAGAGTGGCTTAGCCAAGCCTGCTGTGCCCACCCAAAGGCAGAGCAAAGCATTTCAGGGCTGAGCAGTGGGGCTGGGTTGTCAAGCCCTTTGGGATCCAAAAGGATGAAAAGGGATTTTTATGATTGGTACCTTAATGCGTCTCTGGATGGAGCTGATGTCAGGGCGTTCATTGCTGCTACTGTCCAGATGCCTAGTTACAGGCGAGAAGGTAAATACATGCTGTGAAAAGCCTTTCAGAACCAAACGCTGCGGGATGGGGGCTCAGGGGAGGGAGGCTGGTCTGGAGGGGAAGGTTGGTCTCCTGGGCAGAGCCCAGGCCTGAGTCAAAGCTCCGGCAGCAGTGCCGCTAAGCCAACCCCAAGGTTTCGTCAGAGCCGCTCGTTAGCTGTCGCTAGGCTGGGAGAGGCAGCAGGAAAGTTGTCACCATTTGAACACTCACTTGTATAGCTCGGCCAAGAAAATGTCCAGACTCTGAAGCTCTTCAAAAAGGGCTGGAAAATCCAGAAAAGAAAGGGGGAAAAGGTAAGTTTAAACTGTTGAAATGAAAAGAGCTGACAGCAGACCCACCATCCTGCCCACTCCCTTTGCACGGCAGTGGAAGGGCATCGAGGAGCATGGCATCTCACAGCCACTGTGCAGGGAGAGGGTTCAATCGCCCTCTGTGCCACTGGCAGAGCTTTGGGCTTGGTTTCTGGTTGCCCCTTTTGTTTTTGAGGCTGAACCTTCGCAGCCCTCACCAAAACCTTCCAACCAGCCATGGGGCAACTTGCATAACCCCCAGACCTATTTACACACCAAAGGGCAAACCTGGGAGAAAAGCAGTAGTGCTGGAGGATGGGAAACACACAGCACTTAGGCAGCAGAGCAGCAGAGGGACTGGGAGGAAGGGGGAGGAAGCGGCTGGTGAGCAGGGACTCCCTGCAGATTAGAGAGCAGTCAAGGCTCAGGCGTTACAGGGAGAATAACCTAGGTGACTTGGCAGATACTTTTTACCAGAGAAGCCACGGCTCCGTAAGGGCAGAGGGAGAGGAGTTTTGGGGGCAGGGTTATGGATGAGGAACAGCTCAACCCCACCCAGCTGCAGCTTCTCCTCCGGCCAAGTCAGTGCTTGGCTGATCACGCATAAGCGGCCTGGGAAAGAGCACAGGAAAGGCCTGGGACCCTGAGGCCAGCCCATGGAGAGCTGCCCGAGCTCCTGCCACCAGCACCCAGACCCAGGGAAAAAGGGCTGAAAGGAGAAGCAGTAAGCCAGGGTGATCTCTCCCCTGCAGCCTATGCCCTGGCTTGCTCAGGGGTGCAGCAGCAGGCAAGCAAGAGCAAAGCCTGGCCTGGGGTTTGCCCGGCTGCTGACCGCTTTTGTCTGTCCAGACGTGCAGCTCCTGCGCCAGCTCGGGGATCACCAGGAAGGTCCTCCAGCCCTGGCGCTTCTTGGATTTGAGGATGTCTCCAAAGATATGGTCTCCAATGTACAAGATATCCTTCCCTTTGGCCCCCAGCAGGTCACAGACTGTGTCCGAAGAGCCTGAGAGAAGAATGGCATGGCTCAGAACGGGGAGCCAAAAGGAAACTCGTGGCTCATTTCAGAGGACCAGGGTTAGGGACAGAGCAGGTACATTTTCCTCCCAGAAACCTTCACTGCTAAACATAGCACCCCTGCTTGGCCACAGCAGCACGGGGCACTGCCCACCCACCTGGGAGTTCACCCAGCAGCAGAGGGGCCACGCTGCCTCCCACCCCGTGTGAGAGTAATGGAGCCCTGGATGTCACAGCCAACCCTGTATACCCACCCACCCACTGCCCTTCCCTGGCTCAGGGGACCCTCCAAGCACGGTCGCACTGGTGGCAGCACTGTAAGTACAGCTGGGAATGTTGCACTGGGCCAGCTGCAGCCCCCCCTCCACCACAAGCCCTGCAGTGGCATTTCCCAGACCCTCCCTGGCAAGGAAGAGAAGCATGTTTGAGGAGGAACGGGTCCATTTCTTCCCAGCACTGGGCAGCAGTGATGACAGATTGCTTCTGGTGCGGCGTGCAGAGGGCACAGTACAATGTACTTTGGGAAACACAACCTTGCCTAGTGCCTGGCACAAGTCCTCTCACAGCTGGCGTGGCTGAAGGCCACGAGGGCACGTCTGAGCCACTCCACAGGATGAGAAGGGTTCTCGCCTCACCTCCTGAGTACACAATGCCATGCTGCAACGGGCCAGTGTAGGTACCAATCTTCAGCTTCCCGGTCACCTGAGGAAGGAGACATTGCGTTAGTACAGAACAGCTGATGGTCTGGATCTTTTCTGCCCTATTGATACTTTGCTCTCTGTCTCTCACTCCCAGGCAGTCTAGAGGTGGCTTTCCACATTCTTTTCCTGCACCTGCAGTACATTAGGGAAGCCAGCAAAGCCTTGAGCTTTGCTGTGCCCCAGGTGATGGGGTTGCTCAGGAATCACTAAGAGGAAAAGCCAGCCCACCATCTCTAGGGCAGGTCCTGCCTAAACGCTGTGTTACCCATTGCCACTAAGAGACACCACATGGGAGGTGCACGAGCCCTTCCAGCCATACAGGTACCCTCCGTATGCCACTCACCGTGTCCACCTGCCGCAACACGGTGCCTTCCCCAAAGAAGAGGGGTTTTCGTGCATCCACCAAGATCAGGTCAAAGTAGGACTGCCACGGCCGATGGGCACTCCCAGGCTGCAAAGGCAAAACCAAACCCCAGAATCAGACACCACACAATTAACCACAGGGAGTTTAACCAGAGTGTCACTGTCCATGGCCATAACCTTGTGACATTGCTGGTCTATCAAAATCCCCTAGCTTGTGCCTCTTGTGGTACAACACTGGGTTGCCAGCGCCATCTCCTAAAGCACTCCCCTTCCGTGGCAAGCCCAGCCCAGCCCAGCCCAGCCTAGCAGTGAGGACTGAGGGCATGGTGTGAGATAGGAGAACTGCACTGAACATCCATGTCACAGCGCAGCCGTTGTGTAAAGAGCTGCTGTAAACGACACCTCTGCCACTGTTTCTGAAGGTGACATCCTGCATAGATCCAGACACATGCGACTTCACGGCTTCAGCCTTAAAAGGCCACTCTGATACGTTTGCCAAGAGTGGGAAAATGCCTGGATTCTATTCCACAGAGCATGGCTTTGAATCACAGCCCTGCCCGAAGGACAGTGGGCATTCATGAGCCCTCTCTGCTCCATGCTCCTGATCTTTCTGAGATCAAGACCACAGCAAGGAGTTTTGTGAGCTATCAGTTGTGGTCATTTTCCATGTTCTGACAATTTCTCCCTTGGCCGCCTTCTACCTTTAGAGCACAGCGGGAAAACACATCTTTTGAGCGTAAGATAGCCTCCCACTGGGAGACTGAGAAAGCAGTATAAATTCAGCTCCTAAGCACCTCTCCAAAAGTTGCAGGGCTGATTTTTGACCTCAGAAAGCCAGAAAAAGCATGACCAAAACTTTTGGAGTTACCATAGTCAAGGCACAATCAGCTATAAATGTTTCTGCTGTTTTATAAAATTCTTTCCTTTCCATCAAGGTTTTTTTTTAACAACATACAAAACATTGTGCCAGTTTTCTAAGAAAACCGGCTGCAAAACGCCGCAGTTAAAATGTGTTATCACTAAAATAATGTTATGATTAACACAGATCATCGTTTGAGACCAGATGATGCCTCTTTTCTCTCTGTTATATTGTATTTGCTTTGATCCCATTCAAATAGGACACAAACCAGCAAGTGTATTTTAACCAGATTAAAGCAACTAATCCCATGCGGCCGATAAAGCAGGATTAAAATGCTTTCCAGCTACACAGATAATTAGGCACATCAGTTTCTATTGGAACTGCAGTCTAGAAAGCACATACCTTTGGTCCATGTGGAAAGTCGAACAAGTAAGTCATAATTTTCTGAAAGACAAAAAGAAAGTATTCAAAGACGCATTTTTAAACATACATTTGCGTAGTTTATAAACACTTTTCTGCTTTTATCTTTTCAGGTTACAGAATTCTATTTTCAGGATTTACATGAAAGTCAGCGCTAAGATTTGAAGACAAAATGAATAGATGGAATTTAAAGTGACAGGAATTAAAGCAGTAATTTTTATAATCAAAGAACCATTTGCCTCAGAAACCTGCACACTGCTTCAGGTGTATCTTGCAATGCTTTAAAATGGCATATAAATCTTTGGATTAGCAGCGTTGCAACATCCTGACATTTTCCTGGAGTTGAAGTAACCGCGTTTATTCCTACAGCACAGCAGACAGCCCTTTCTAGCTCTTAGGCCTACCCAGGACCATGGCTTTGTACTCAGACTATTTCACTTGCAAGGGAAGTTCTGCATTTTAAAGGATGCTGAAATCACTTGCTCTTTCAGCCTTTTATTTGCTGAGGAACTGAGGCACAGAGCGACTTAAGCCAGGCCCATACTACGTCAGTAACAGAACCAGGACTACAAAGATGACCCAAGACCTAATCTGCATCCACCACTAAACCACCCTACACCTAGCTTAGGAAACACCGGATTCTCCATCAGACGATGTCCTACCAAAACCCATACAAATGAATGGCTGGCTTTTGCTTATTCCATTATAAACCAACACAACAATTCAAGCAGCACTTACATCTGTGTATTTATAATCGCTGTTTGTGACAAGAAACACCTTCCCAACTTCATTCATGCGGCTGAGCAGCAGCGGCAGCTTCCCCTGAAAGCCAAGGGACATACAAGTCACACACAAAAGTTACAGAGATTCATCATGGGCAAAACACTCTCAACTGTGATCCCACCAGACAAAACAAAGCAAATCAAACCATCCAGCAAGCAAACTCACACGTTTTGCACTGGCCAGAGCCAGGAAAGCTGCTGGTCCATCCAGGTGACACCCCTCCAGAGCACAGCCCCAGGGAGGAAGGCGAGGGGGAAGGGCTCAGCTGGGCTGCGGTGCCTTTGCCAACCACAGTGCCAGGCGCCCTGTGCTGCTCCCACCAACCTGCTCCGTCCGTGCCAGGCACGCTGGAGCAGCTCCTCCAGTTCCAAGTCCGTTCCCGAAATGGGCCCAGAGGCAGGTGAAATCTGAGCTCACATGAGCCACAAGTTGGAGCACATTATAGTTCCAACCTCAAATTAGGGAGAATTTATTCCTAGGGCTATTTTTATTGAATCATAAATCTCAGTCCATTGCCAGAGTAGCTGATTACCTCACAGAACAGTTTCCTAAGAATTTTGCAGGCATGTAACTAGAAACAAGGTTAACTGCTTTAAAGTGATACTCTACCACAGAGCTCATCTAAACTAAGGAATAATTATACTGTAAGTGGTCCAGAGGGGCCTTGCACATTGCAGAGAAGGCAAAAGTAAGGGAGCCACTGGAGCTTGCTCAATTAGATGTGCTGAACACATATTTTGGGGCTATCAAGGGACTGGACACTGGCGAGTCTTTCAGGATCTTTCCCTCAGTCCCTCATGGTTAAACATGTGCAACATTTTTGTTGTATGGCTAAGGAATACTTCTATCTAAAAAGATGCTCATCTGTTGCTTTTTAAAAAGAGCTCTGCTTGGGCAGAGAAAATGTGGGCAGGGAACACAGTTGCTTTCACTACCAAAAGAAAGAACACGAGCCTTGCCAGCGTATCCACCTGTGTCCCATGATAACATTTCCTCTGGCTTCTATATTTTACGTAAAAAACGTGCACGTGAATACGAAATCATGTGGATCGCTGGCTCAGAATAAAGGCTGCGTCCGAACTTTCCACTTTGTCTTTGGTTATTACAATAGAAATCACAGCGTTATCTGTTTTGTGATTTAGTAAAGCAAATCAGCATGTTTATTTCTTGCCTGCTTACTCAGTACAGAATGTCACGTAGCACAAGTAAAGTAACTTCACACTTACATCTTTCACCACATACTTTTCCAGATTCTCAAGGGTCTTTTCCTTGAGTGATCCCTGAAATAGAAACAAAAGAACCCAGTGAGGTAATGGAAACTTATGATGAGACATCAAAGTAATGCCAACTTTCACACTTCAAAATGCTGTGAAAGTACAAACCAGGGCGAATCTGAACCAGTGACTCTAGAGATGAGAGGCTTTGAGTAGCAGGGACCATCACAAACTCTGTGATCCATCGATTCCCTCACCATGGTAAATAATCCACTTCAACAGCATTTTAACCCTTTCAGAAGGGAATACAATAGAAACAAACAAAAAATAGATTTGCCATACCAAACAAGACAGTCAATGACCTGTCTCCAACACTGACCATAATGCTTTACTCAAAGGCCAACTCCAACATGTATCACACAACACTGCATAAGGAAAGAAAAACAGATTCCTGACTTCTGCATGGCTAAAAGGACCACCACAAGTACACCTGTGAGCAGAGTTCTCCTGTGATGCTTCTCCATCCCACCCCAACAGACCTCTTAAATGAGGAAGAACAAGAAAATCAGGTCTTTAACCAGGTGTTAATGCTCACAGAATTATATTCTAGATTTGTGCACAAGTGTGTGAAAAAGATGAACTGCCTCTCCTCTCTAAATAGAGAAGAGTTGATGTATTTCTGTGTTTAATGCAGGTACTTTTCAGACAACGTAAGATAGTACCAATGTAAAGCATTTACATTAAAATGCTGTTTTAATAATTAGGACAATGTGCAGGTTGTGTACTGTAAGTGCAAATACCCTCACATGGCATCACGTTCTAAAACCCGTGAATTACAGTACGGAAATGGAATCTGGGCACAATAAAGAGGTACAGGAAGCCAAGACAGGTATGCTCCAGTACTAGGAGGGCAGTCGATATCTTGACTTACTCACATACAACTGCAATTTATTGTTTGCTCACTAGGCGGCAAAGCCCAAAAGTGGAACAACACATCTTAACTTACGAGTTACAAACCAGTCCCTCTAACTCAGTTACAACTACAGATGTCCCAGGGAGTTCTTGCAATCACCTTGTAATGAACCCAGTCAACAGCATCTCTGACATCCTGGAACATACTCCTGAAGGACATGAAGAGGTCTCCATCTTTAAACCCTGTTTCACAGCTGTGAGGAGAAAGAAGAGAGACTGTGGTGGCCGATCGCAGCAGGTAAGAAACACGCCAAGGAAAGAGACAGTTCAAAATGTTGTTTGGAGCTTGTGTTTTCATCTTACCGTAATGGTCTCTTATTTATTACTTTACTGTGGCTCAGACTTGAAAGAAGGCTCCAACCAGAGTTTAACAAGATCTGCGTGTTACCCAAGAACGTTTGTTTAAAATTTTAGGATGTGAGTTCCTAACTGCAGGCCTGTGCCTCCACAGCCGTACTACAGCTTCCTCTGGCTGCAACTCCTATTTCTCCTCCACAGCACTACAAGACGGAAAAAAGACCGGGACTTTGCAGTTTGCAGCATTTTACAAAACATGAATGGTGCTAAGAAAGTAAGCAGAGCGCTTGCTCTTTCTCCCTCTTTCCAACACTAAAGAAGGGGGTGCCCTGGAAATCAACTAAATGTAATACTTGCTGCTGAGAGGGGGAACTACTTCTGTGTTGGACAGTTAGAGTTAACATACAAGATACTGTGGAGGTATCTTTGAGACACCCATGAGAGTTCACATTAGAAGACATTAAGGAGGATTAAACAGAGCTGTATTTATAATGACAGCAATCATCGCGCTTGTCCTGAGAAAGGATACTTCACCTGATGGATTTTTGGCATAAACAGATCCTCTGTTCCCAGTAAAATCCCATTAAACTTTTGCCTTCCACTCAAATAAATATGCAAGGATGAGTCAGCAGCATGGCAGCATTCACATTTGCCAGTTCAAAACACAGCTTGTTTTTATGCTTATACCTATTTGAAAGCTAGGTAAATATCCATACTGCACAAAGAGCCTTTTGCACCACACTGTGCCTGAGCATTTCACCTTTAGGTGAACAAAGTCCTCAATTATGACATGCGGGACTTGTGGTAACTGGCTGAGGAAATTTAGCCTTTCAGTTACCAGTTCAAACACGGCTCCATTGGACAGGGGTTCAAAATGAGCTGTCTGGTACCTGCCACCACCCTGTAATAAGTGTGTGATGTTAGAAGCTGGCCCAAATACCAGTGTCAGTCAGTATGGTGGTACTGATATACCCTGTGAAGGGAACTCTCATAACCAGTCTCTGCTGTACACACCAATCACCTCATCACCACTGAATTCTCTTAACGTCAAAAGAGTAAGAGGCCTGAACTTTTCCCCACCAAAACCACTTGAGGGACCTCCACTGATATTAAGAACAGCTCCATCCGTGCTGTATTGCTCTTTATAATAACAATCTTACTGTACTATCAGCACCTCAAACTGGAGGGAATACGCACCTAGTGTACCGGTCACAGTTAGTAAAGAAATCCACTAGGCAAGCCAATAGGTAGGTCTCTGCAAAGAAGCAAAGCAAGATTTTAAAACAAGGATAACATCATACAGCCAGCTAACTTTAGGCCCTGTGCCCAAAAGAAGAAAGCTCATGTAAAAAAAAAAAAGAAAGAAAAGGTGGGGTATGACATTAGCAAAGCTTTACTGGCTTCAAAGGCACAGAAACAGGCCTGTGAACATTAGACTCACCTGGTAGATTGAATAACGTGTTCAGAATGTAAAACCTATCTGTGTCATCCCTCTGGATAAATTTATTTGGATATTGATCCCGTGTTTCAGGCCTGAGAATAAATAAGGTGGAAAAGAATGAAACAAAAAATAATGAGGATAAGATGTGCTGACCTGCAAAATACATTTGTAGCGGGGTCCATTAGCTGGAGCCTGTTGTGCTTTAATCAACACCCAGCTTTCCCATGTGCATTAGCGGCGCAAGAGCAAAACTGCATCCAGTGGCGTTCCCTGCACCACGCTGGCTCCGGCAGAGCCGGGCACAGAGCCCTCGTCGCTGAGTCAGCGAGCTGAGCAGAGCCCACACAGGGAAAGA